AAAAACCGTCCACATGTGCCAAGCACTATTTCATACCATTCTGATCTACTGGGGTGAAACAGAAATATAAACTGACACAGGGATGGATTACCCAATAAGCAAGGTATGCCCTCACTTAGATATGGTGAAAAACAGGTGAAATTGTGCACTACAGATTAGTAAGTAAGTGCATTTAAGCCCCTGCTTACCTTGCTTACTGGTTAATTCACCCCTGAGGCAAGTACAGAAGAGGATGGTACTGTAAGAGAGCAGAGGAGCAGTCACTAACCAGTCTAGGGTAGCCTGCAGGAAGAAGCAGCTGAATGATTCTGGGCGGATGAGCACTGGAGAGGCAAACTGACTGCCAAGTCTAGATCCCGGTTTTTAGCCAGTCAACGACTTCCTCCTCTAGGTGTCTCACCTGATGAGACTGATTCTTCACCCGATAAAGTGGAAAGGGCTGGAGACAATGGGGAAGAAGGCTGCCTGGTCTCGCTAACACCAGTTCATGTTTGGATAGCTAGACAATGTTGTTCTAAAGGCTTTTGTACCTTCTGGAACTTTCTGAAGCAAGAAATGTCCCATTTCTAAGTGCCTCTGGGTCAGGGTGTTCATGCCTTAGTGAACGCTACATGTTCCCTAGGGGTAGATAATTCACAAGTGTTGTTCCTTTTCCTTGATTCTTGACCACAGAGAGGGTATTGGGACAGGTCTGTGACCCCTAATATTCCCTTGATCCTGTCTCCTGGTCATCATTTGTACACATGGAAGGCACATCTCTATTTCCCTCTCTTCTCATTTGACAGATGGGGGACTAATCTGATCCATCCTCACTATCTAAGCAGAATTTTTCTCTAGGCACAAGCTATTTGGCTCAGCTTCACCCTCACTGACCTCCCGGTGAACAACTCTATGTACTTTTGTGTTCTAAAATAACTCAGCAATAGTTCCTCCTTTCTCTCCTTCTCCCATCATTAAACAATCTTAAGTATTCACTTAACAGGTATTTTTGAAAATTCTTATTCAGTGTCATCTATGTGCCAGGCTCTGTTCTAGGGACCGAGGATACAGTAGTAAGAAAGTTCCTGCTCTCATGGAGCTGCTCTTCTATTGAGGGAGACAGAAAACAACAAATTAACAAATTTGCTGTATAATGTGGGGTAGTGATACCTGCTCTGAAAAACATCAAGCAGGTTAAGCAGATTTGGGTTGGGGACTATACTAGATAGGGTAGTCTGGGAAGGCCTCTCATATAAGGTGACATTTCAGAGACTTGAATTATAGGGAAAGAGTGTTCCAGGCTAGGCAAACAGCAAGTACAAAGGCCCTGGAGGCAGGAAGAAGCATGGCAAGCTCAAGGAATAGCAATTAGGCTAGTGTGGCTAAAGTGGGAAGAACATGGTAGACAGTGGTAGATGAGAGTGGGTAGATAGATAGGAACCAGATCAGATAGGGCTTCTATGGATTTGGATTTTGTTCTGAATAAAATGACATGATCTAATTTAGGCTTACAAAGACGTCCATTGATGCTGTGTGGAGAAGGCTGGGGAGGGGGTGTGGAGGAGGTAGAAGCATGGTGACCAGTTAGGAGGCTACTGTATAATCTAGTGGTGGTTTGGTCCAGGATGGTTATAGCAGAGTTAGTGAGTGGTTGAATTCTGATGTTTTGAAGGGGGCACTGATAAGACTTGCTGAGGGACTGGAAATGGCACCGCAGAGTAATAGAGACATATCAAGGACATCTTTTCGGTTTTGAACAATGGTGCCATTCTCTGAGGTGGTTAAGCATGGGAGTGGAGTGTAGGGAGTAAGTTGTACGGGCAGGATGTGTGGAGTTTGAGATACACAGTTGAATACATGTATGAATCTGGATGTCAGGGAAGAGGTCCAGGCTAGAGACAGAAATTTTGGAGTAATCAGCATACAGATATTATACATAAATTACTTCTAGGGAGTGAGTGTAGATGGAAAAGAGCATCATGGACTATGGCCTGAGGCCTTCAACAGCTGGAGAAGAGGAGGAGCCCACAAAGGAGACAGAAGAGTGGTCAGTGAAGCAAGAAAGATTAGGAGGAAGATCAGGAGAGTGTGGTGTCTAAAAAAACCAAGTGAAGAAAGTAGATTCTGTATCATCACAACCAAGTGTCAACTCCCAAGCCTCAGCTTTTTTCCTCTGTGAAATGGAACCAGTAGCAACACCTACTTTATGGCATTGTTAGGATTAAATGAGATAAAGCATGTAAATCAGTTAGGCCTGTGCCTGACTGGCATATAGTAAACTCAATATATGCTAGCTAGTACTATCATTAGGAGCCCTGGTGGTGCAATGGTTAAGTGCTCGGGCCGCTAACCAAAAGGTTGGCAGTTCAAACTCACCATGGGAGAAAAGGCCTTGGGATCTGTTCCTGTAAAGATTACAGCCTAGGGCAGTTTTACTCTGTCCTATAGGATCACCATGAGTCATAGTCAGCACACAACAACAGTATTATCATTAGAGTACCTGGGTGGTGCAAATTCACTGTTTTGTTAATGCTCTCACTGCTATTGGAAAGGTTAGAGGTTTGAGTCTACCCAGAGGTGCCTTGTAAGAAAGGCCTGACCATCTACTTCTGAAAAATCAGCCACTGAAAACTTTACGGATGCACAGTTCTACTCTCACACACACGGGGTCACCATGAGTCAGAATCAACTTCGTGGCAACTGACTAGTATTATTATCCCCTGCTTCTGAGCTGGCTGGTGTGTTTGTGTGTGTGTCGGGGGGGAATTGGCGCAGCTTCCATGTCCCCTTAAATGACATAAATGACTTCATTAGTGAGGTGTCTCTGCTCACTCAGGCACCAGGTGGGCCTGAGGAGTAGCCTCTGGGTGAAGTGGCTTCAGCACCCAAGCCTCTCACTAACAGTCTCCAGCCCTTACTTGCAAATAAACAAGGGGAAAAACCATTCCCGTCAATTCCGACTGAAAACGTGTGGTAAATAAAGGTTTTAAAGCCAGAATTCTGCCTCAGGTGTCTCACTGGCTGTGGGACCTTAGGCAAGTTTCTTTTTTTCATTTAAAAAAATTTTTTTCTATTGTACTTTAAGTGAAGGTTTACAGAACAAATAGTTTCTCAGTAAACAGTCAGTACACATATTGTTTTATGTCATTGGTTAACAACCTCATGACATGTCAACACGTTCCCGTCTCGGCCTTGGAGGACCTTTTTTTTTTTTGGTGAAAATATACATAGCCAAAGATATACCATTTCAAAAATTTCTACACGTACAATTCAGTGATGTCGATTACGTTCTTCCAGTTGTGCAGCTATTGTCACTTTAGATGGTTTACAGATGAAAATAGTTTCTCATTAAACAGTTAGTACACATGTTGCCCTATGACAATGGTTAACAACCTCAACACATCAACATGGTCCTTACTCAGCCTTGGGTTCTCTATCACCAGCTTTCCTGTCCCCTTCTGCCTTCTAGTCCTTGTTCCTGGACTGCTGTGCCTCATTAGTTCCATTTTGTTTTATGGGGCTGTCCAATCCCCCGCTGAACGGTGAACCTCGGGAGTGATTTCACCACTGAACTAAAGGAGTGTCCCGGGGCCATACTCTCGGGGTTTTTCCAGTCTCTGTCAGGCCAGTAAATCTGGTCTTTTTTTGTGTGTGCGTTAGAATTTTGTTCTACATCCTTCTCCAGCTCTGTCCAGAACCCTCTGTTGTGATCCCAGTCAGAGCAGTCAGTGGTGGTGGACGGGCACCATCTAGCTGTACTGGACTCAGTCTGGTAGAGGCCTTGGTAGCTGTGGT